TACTAACAAGCGGCAGAAATTTTCCTCATATTGATGTATTTTTGTTCAGGAGAAAAAGTAAAACACAAGAACTACATCAATATAACAAATAATTTTGTATAGTAATCAATAACAATTTTGTTATACTTATTAAATTGTTATTGCTGGTGTTCGTTTTTTCTTTTTTCTCTAGTAGAATTATTCGGTACCCGGCCGGATCCTGAAAAATGTGGCAGATCCAACGGATATCAAATCCAAACCGAACCATCTCCACTCTATATCTTGCTTTAATTAACATAGTGAAAAAAGACACAAAAATTTCTATAATGTTAGTATATAGTATTCTAATAACTGCATTTATTTTTGTAGTCTTAATAAATTAGGACACAAAATTAACAAATAAATTTGGGTCTAAAGGCCGTGTGTCCAATCGACGACGGCCTTTAGAGCTTTAGACCCGAATCAGAACAGCATCAGTTCACCTACTGGCCGTGAAAGCCTTTACCAATTTGTCACAAATAAATTTATAAGTGGTAAGGATTAACCGAAGTTTCTAGGCGCAGAATAAAAAATTGTTTCCCACTTATGCAATTATATTTGTCTGGTCCAATAGCCAATAATTTATAAAAGATGTACATAAAACCTTTATTATTATTATTAAAAATTTTTCAACATTTTCTACCATCACATCAACAACTTAAGACATTTCTAAACAACTATTTGAACAATACAATTCATGGATGGTTAGAATCTGAACAAAGTCCTAAGTCAAGGTTGTTTTATTGTCAATAGACTTTTTCTCGTCTACTGTAACTAAGCTTTTCTTTTGGCGAATTTCACTGCCCATTTCTGGCTGTGACCAAATGTAGCCGGTGGCACTCATTGCACAGTAGGCATTATAATATCGCCCTGGAGCCCTACAGAATGACCAAGATGGGCAACGACAACGAAACAGATATTGAAACTCTTCTTTACAAACTTCATTCCACCAACAAGTTCTCTATAAAACAAGTTGGGTAGTTTTTCAGATAAAGAACAAAAAGTTTCATAGTAAATACTTTATTGTATTCACTGATTCAAATTTACAAATAAATTATCTGTTTCTTATATCAATTTTCTTGTACTATCATCATTATCATAAGGTCGTCAGTCCTAAGACTGGTTGGACACGCGCCTCCACTATTTCCTAATCTGATATAATCTTTGCATTTCCCTAGAACTAAAACATTCCACATCCTTAACTATTTACGAACAGTAATCTAATCTAGGTCTACCTCTACTCATCTTAACCCCTATTTCTGCCTCTAATATGTCTCTGCCTAGCCCTCCATACCTAAGTAGATGTCCTATGAACCTATCTCGTCTATTTCTTATTAATTTCCTCTATTCTCCTATTCTTTCTAATACCTCTACATTTCTAACCTTCTCTATCCACGGTATCCTCATCTTTCGCCTGTAACATCACATTTCGAATGCTTCTAAACTTTTCTTTTCCGCCTCGCCCACCGCCCAAGTTTCGCACCCGTCCACCACCGCGCTCCAGTCATAAACACCTTCAACAATCTTTTTCGAATTTCTAAACTAACCATTCGTAAGCATAGAATGGACTTCTTTTTATTAAAAACGACTAAACCCTGCGCTATCCTGTTTTAAAGTTAAAGTTATCCTAGATACCGAAAATCAGCCACTTCCTCTTTTTCGTCTTCTATCTTTATATTTGGTCTTTCCCTACTTTTTCTTCCAAATACCTAGACATCGATATTTCGGGACTTTAGAGGTGCTTCATAAAATACAAATAAAACAATTGTACTTCAGAGTCACTCAACTATTGTATTAAGCAAAATTATGTGTTGTTTATATCGCCAGAATTATATCTACAACGTTTTACCAGTTTCGTTTTTTTTAATAAATCAGTGAAACATGTCGGCGGTTTAATATTTTAAATTGTTGTTTACCCTGTTGACGATTGATGGAAAATGTTTAGAGAAATTTTAGTGTTAGAAAATTCTTGATAAACCGCTGTACGTATTTCAGCACTGAAACATTAAACATTCCCATAAACTTTCGTCCTTTTTTTTAAAGATGATGATCATAACTTTTACGTATTGTATTTTTCAAAATCCTCACCTCCATTAAGTATCCATGTACTGATTCATCAAAAACATTTCTTTTATTGTCAGGCAGTTTTTCAACAGATCTTTCGTCAGAAAATCCAAAAAATACAATGGCAACAATGAAAACATTCTACGACAAAAATAGTTAATAAAACAGTACAATTTTTCGATATTTACTAGAAGCCTGCACCTTAGCAACCATTGCATAAACTTTTCAATTTTCATATATTGATTTTGTACATCTCTGATGCCACCTAACGTTAACTTTGAAACCTTATTAATGCAGCAGAAACATTTGCAAAGAAAATTCAATACAAGAATGAATTACCAATCATTTTTTAAAATATGCAAAAAACAAATTTATCCCTGTTTCCATAGAAATGCTTTCAATTGCTCTAATATTGAACAAACCTCATTCACGCCACAGTTTTTGACATAATATGGAGTTTATTAATTAATCAGTTAGTTTAGTTTACGGACTTTTTCGAAAAAATGATTTTTGGAACTAGTTTAGATCCCCCCAAGAAGCCACCCCCACNCCCATAAACTTTCGTCCTTTTTTTTAAAGATGATGATCATAACTTTTACGTATTGTATTTTTCAAAATCCTCACCTCCATTAAGTATCCATGTACTGATTCATCAAAAACATTTCTTTTATTGTCAGGCAGTTTTTCAACAGATCTTTCGTCAGAAAATCCAAAAAATACAATGGCAACAATGAAAACATTCTACGACAAAAATAGTTAATAAAACAGTACAATTTTTCGATATTTACTAGAAGCCTGCACCTTAGCAACCATTGCATAAACTTTTCAATTTTCATATATTGATTTTGTACATCTCTGATGCCACCTAACGTTAACTTTGAAACCTTATTAATGCAGCAGAAACATTTGCAAAGAAAATTCAATACAAGAATGAATTACCAATCATTTTTTAAAATATGCAAAAAACAAATTTATCCCTGTTTCCATAGAAATGCTTTCAATTGCTCTAATATTGAACAAACCTCATTCACGCCACAGTTTTTGACATAATATGGAGTTTATTAATTAATCAGTTAGTTTAGTTTACGGACTTTTTCGAAAAAATGATTTTTGGAACTAGTTTAGATCCCCCCAAGAAGCCACCCCCACCCGTAAAAAGGCCTTTTCCACCCGACATTAAACTACCATGTATTCAACCATCATCATGGGCTCATGTAAGTTTATAAAAATAAAGTGTAAATGTAAACTATTTCAAAATGAGAAATAAAGAAAGGGAATTTTTGCAAATTAGTTGGAATGTATATCTTGTATACGTAGGTACTATTACCATATTACCAATTTTTTGTATCAAAATTTAGAAAATATTCTTGTGAAAATACAATCTATATTCGGCGTATACTGTTTTGACAATAATAAATATATCTAGCCTAAAATCTACGTAATTACTGGGCTTAAGAGTGAAAACTAAAAACGTTAAATCACTGAAACGAGCTTATACACGGAGAAAACGAAAAACGAAAATTTACCTAAATATTAATGCGGTATTTACAATTTATCCCACTAGTCCGTTGCTTCGTAAGCGAAAATAAGAATAAAAATTACAATTTGGACTCGAATTTGTAAAAATAAAATCCCAGCAGAAATAAATTTACTAGCTATTTTAGTTAATATTGCAAATTTAATTGTAATAATNGCGAAATATACAGTTTGTCCCACTAGTCCGTTGCTTCGAAAACGAAAATACTAGAAATTACAATTTGGACCCGAATTTGTAAAAATAGGTAATAATTAAGAAACTTGAAATAATTTATAAAAACATGTCAAAATTGAGATTTTTACAAGTTACCTAATAAATTCCAGTTTCTACGGCAAATTCAGTCATTTACAATTGAAAATTTTAATTTTTGCGTTGTCATAAAAATTTAGTTTTCTCTGTGTAACAATTGTAGACTAGAAGTCTGAAAAGTGCCAAAATCATAATAATTATCGTTAATTAAAACCTGATATACTAACAAGCGGCAGAAATTTTCCTCATATTGATGTATTTTTGTTCAGGAGAAAAAGTAAAACACAAGAACTACATCAATATAACAAATAATTTAGTATAGTAATCAATAACAATTTTGTTATACTTATTAAATTGTTATTGCTGGTGTTCGTTTTTTCTTTTTTCTCTAGTAGAATTATTCGGTACCCGGCCGGATCCTGAAAAATGTGGCAGATCCAACGGATATCAAATCCAAACCGAACCATCTCCACTCTATATCTTGCTTTAATTAACATAGTGAAAAAAGACACAAAAATTTCTATAATGTTAGTACATAGTATTCTAATAACTGCATTTATTTTTGTAGTCTTAATAAATTAGGACACAAAATTAACAAATAAATTTGGGTCTAAAGGCCGTGTGTCCAATCGACGACGGCCTTTAGAGCTTTAGACCCGAATCAGAACAGCATCAGTTCACCTACTGGCCGTGAAAGCCTTTACCAATTTGTCACAAATAAATTTATTTCTTCAATTTTTTTACTTCCTTAAACCAGTATGCCCGTCAACCCAACACCGATTATCACGTAAAGTTCATGCAGTACAAACAGGCCTTGCAAGCAGCAGATATTGAAAGGGAAATTCGAGAGAAAGCATCCAACGCCAAAGATAAATTTGAACAAAAGTTCATAAAACACTCTGATCAACGACTTTTTAAAAATGAAATTGAAAAACGCGTCAAGGAGCGTTTGGAAATATATGAAAAAACAATTGAAGAACGACGTACCAGGTAAAAATCAACACAATGTGGTAAAAATCCATTTACCTTTAATAAATAATAAATAATAAAACTTTGTTGGGCAGGCTACCATACAGTAACATATTTTTCTATCGAACTTTATCTGTTATTTCGTTCAGTTATCACAAATAAATATTATTCAAATATCAAATTTAATGAATAATTATTAACCTTTGCGATCCAATAACATAACGGTACGCATCGTTAAACGCCAATTCTTTTTCATCCCTTTCCCTTCGGATTGAATTTTTTAACATCTTCCAATCTTAATTTGGTAATTCGGTCTTAATCAAGTGTACATAATTTTTTTTTCTATTTCACCTGCTGAATTTTAGTTGTGACCGCACATTTTTACTGTATACGGGAATCATCTCAGTTAGCATACTAATTCCGATAAGACAAACACACGAACTTTTCTGAGGAAGCCAATGTTGAATTAGAGTCATCTTCGCTGAGGAAATTACATGGTCCTTTTTAAGCAATGTAATAATGCATTAAATGCAAAATCAATAATTGGCTATACTTTAAATATCTGTTATTGTAAGATTGAAAAGTACGGTTGACTTTGCAATTTAGTTCACATTCGTAAAGTATAGGTACCTAATTAGTGGTTAATATCATACTTTTGTTTTCTTGAATAAGGACTTCCTATTTAGTTAAAAACAACATATAAATAAAACTAAACTAATGTAAATAAGGGTTCGTATCCTTAGTGAAACCTTAAGGTCAATCCTTTTCATGTGAAAAACTCTTATAACACAACCTTTGTAGCATTCTCTAGAAATTTTTTGACTTACTGAAGTTCTACCTATGCCTGAGTACCCAGAGGTTAAATATGAGATTTTTGAAAAACTTGACTCTGTATATCTTTTACCATTCATAACGAAAACTTAGTGATTACAATCATCATAACGTCGTAAGTCCTAAGACTGGTTGGACGCGCATGTCCAGTCTTTCCTACCCTGAGCTAATGTTCGCATTTGCCTAAAACTAGAACAACCCACATCCTTAACTATTTGGGAACCGTAATCTAATCTAGGTTTACTTCTACCCCGCCTAACTTCTGTTTCTGCCTCTAATATGTCTCTGACTAGACCTTCATGCCTGAGAAAGTGTCCTACCAACCTATCTCGCCAATTTCTTATTGACTACCATAGACTCTATTCTCCTATTCTTTCTAATACCTCTTCATTTCTAACCTTCTCTATCCATGATATCATCATCATTCACCTGTAACACCACATTTCGAACGCTTTTAACATTTTCTTTTCCGCCGCACCCACTGTCCATGTTTCGCACCCGTACAGTGCCGTGCTCCAAACATACACCTTTAACAATCTTTTTTGAATTTCTAAATTAACCATTCGCCAGCTTAGAAGTGACTTTTTTTTTATTGGAGGCAACTTGACCCTGCGCTATGCTCTGCTTTATATCCCTACTACTCCTTCCGTTGTGATTTATCTGACTTCCTGGATACCTAAAATCTGCCACTTCTTCTAATTTTTCGTCTCTTATCTTTATATTCGCTCTTTCCCTACTTTTTCTTCCCTTGCATACCATAATATGTTTTTTTATTTATTTTCATACAGTACTGTTTTTGTTTTTTATTTAAAGCAATCTCTAACTTTTCCTTGCTAGATGCCAATACTGCTATAAGTAGTTACAATGCCCAATTTTAATTCAATTATCCGTATCTAGTGAGCATATATTAGGTACATAAAGTATTATTTCATGGTAGTCACTAATTGCTTGTTTTCAATGTCTAATAACTAATGAGATATAAAAAAAACATAGTGAATGTTACAATGATGATAATAATGCAATTAGATAAAATAGCTAGTGCTCCTTTTACTTTTCGAGATTAAGAGAGCTCCTCGGCGAAGAAGAGTGTGCACATTATCGGGAAACTGTGGAGAATGCAAAGAGATTGTGTGACTCTAAATTTGGCATGATGAAGCGACAAGTTGAAGAGTTGAAAGCTAAAAAAGAAGCTGAAAGATTGAAAGTTGTAGAACAAAAACGTCTCCAACAGTACATGTAAGCACTTTAAGAAATTTTGTTTACGTAAACCTAAAACTTGAATACTTCTTATAGTTTCAAAAATGGTGAATGCGCCTGACATTGTGTTAAATGTAGCTATTGTCTAACAAATAAATAGGGTAATTACCATAATATATAATTATAATATAGAAACAGAGTATAAAATGTAACTAACAACAAGGGGCTGGCTTCGTCCGCTGTTTTCCTATACATATCTCCTCTAATTTTCAAATTATTTTGTAGTAAAATCGTTTAATTTTTTACAAAATACTAAAACCTGATTCAAGGTACAACTTAATGCAGGAATCCATTAATAAATGTTAGTAACATTCGAGCATAGTTAATGGTTTTAATTATATCCATATTGTTTTACTTAGGGTTTTTTAGTTTTTAAATTTATTTTTGTAAAATTCATACAGGGATAGGTGCGAATTATTAAGGACAAATGTGGCTCAAAAAAGATTAGTCGAATCTAAAAACAGCAATTTACAACAAATGCGTGAAAACGAACAAAGAAGAGAAGCTGAAAGAGAACTGGATAAATTTTGGGGTGATTTGACAAGAACTGAACAACTCGGAGTGGTAAAGCACGATAGTATAATTGATTTCATATTTAAACCATTTTTCTTTCTTAATTTCCAAAATAGACTTTCAATTCAGTTGTTATATACGAGGGTGGATTGATAAGTTTCCGGCCTAACCAAGAGATGACGCCACTAGGCCTACCTTGAGGTGACATTCTATAGTACCATCCTTGGATAGCTTGTAGCTATAGTTTCAGCCCGATCTCCT